TAGTCATTACATTAATTTTGCAAATATTCCTCTGTGCAACCAGCTTGCTCCTAGAGACAGGAATTTTGAAGTTCCATCCCACATACTTTGGGCATGTTGCCAGGAGAAACCAGTCCTTGGAGAGGGATATCATGCTTGGGAGGGTTGAGGATTAGCACAGAATAGGAAGACCCTGAATGAGACGTATTGACACAGTGACTGTGGCAATGGGGTCAGGTGTGCCAGAGATGGTAAGGTTGGCTCAGGATAGGGAAGGGTTCAAAGTTGTCACTCTAAGTTGTAGTCAACTTGATGGCACATAACAACAACAATAACATTTAAGCAAACTATTCTTTGCCTCGAGGCCATTTAAAACCAAAGGCAAAAAAAAAAAAACAAAAAACAAAAAACAAAAAAACAACCAAAGGCAAAACAAAGTGACCACATGTCACTTTGCCAATTCCTGCTATAGGCCACTTATCAATAATGGCTATTTCTGCTTCTGCTGTGACTCTAATTATCAGTGACAAGAAACAATTTGAAATCACAACTAGTACATACACAACTGTTACAATCTGGAAAAGAGGATAAAATAGTTAAATCTTTAAATAAACAAGCTATTAGAAACTAACAGAGAACTTAGTTTTCTTTAGACCATCACTCCTTTAAAAGTATCTTCCTTTGTGACTGAAATTTAGAAGAAGTCATCAGGCCACACAACTTGACCACCTACAGAGAGATCAAGCAGTGAATGATCATGGAAATAGTTCCTCAAATAGGTTCCTTCTGTTTTCCCTCATGGTAAGAAATGAACATGCCTGTTTTTAGTAAGGGTAGAGCTAAAGAAAGGATTGAAATTTGGCAAATAAAATAACTGAGGATCCTTTTCTACTGCCCTTCCCCTGACCCGAATTGCCAGGGGAAGTCTGCACCCAGATGGTGAGACCCTGGGTAGATGCAGTCTGATGAGTAGTCTTCTTGATCTTGCTGTTGTACCTTCAGAAGTTTCAAGAATACCTTACTCACCAAGTGGACTGTTAGCATCATAATGAGATTCATGAAAGAATTTTTGATAAATTATGAAGAGCACTTCTCAGGAAAAGAAATCCCAAGTGACAGATAAATAAACATTAAAGAATTCTGAAACAAGTATTCTGTATTCTTCTCCTTCACCCCATGCTGTAATTATCCACAGCAGGGAACGTGGTAGACAGGACAAGGTGTGTAGTGCTGTTCTGGACACCAGAGCGCCACCTTTGGATTAGCACAACTCACTTCAGTTCCCTAGGGGAACTGAAATGCTCTGATGGAAACAGGAACGAAGGAATATTATGCAAGTAAAAACTTTACACAAAGGGAACACATCATTGTGGAATATACAGGGAAAACTTCAAAATGGAATTGAGAGGAGCCCGCTGGCTATCGAGGTGAGAAGACATCTTTGATAGTTCAGTTGCCAGCCGATTCAGAATATTTGAAAGGTAGATATGAAAAAGGGCTGACACCTATTATGCCAGAAGGGTCTCAGCTGTATTAAAAATGATTCCAGTAAGAAAGGAAGTTATTTGTTGTTTGTGTAAGGAAGAGTGATGATCCAACTGTACGCAGAGTTTGGATCTTATTGGAGTTTATCATACCTATTCCTCAAAAAAAGCTCATTGTAGCCCACTCAGAATCAACTTACTTACAGCTGGCCCTCTGCTGGGTTTCCTAGCTGTTCGTGCCACTGATCTTTGTGCTGCAGAGCTGCAAGTGAGTTAGAAATCTCTGAGAAGGGAGAGTTACAGTGCAGCTCCACACAGGTTAGATCACCAGAGCTTCCTATTCTTACCCGCTGTGATTGTTGTGCACAGGAGGAGTGTGACTGGTCCACATTTGAGCCTCCAGCAGGTTTTCAGAGACAGTTAATCTCATGGGAGGAGGCTGCCAATCCTTCTCCCCTGGAGCAGCTGACGGCCTTTAACCCTGTGCCTTTGGGATTGCAGCACAGCTTCTTGCCACTAGGCTGCCAGAGCTCCCTTCCTACCCATTAGTGCAGAACTAAAAAAACGCAATATCACTGCCAGTGAGTCAGAGCCAAACCCATAGATTCGTGTTTTCCGAGACAGCCCATCTTCCTTCTGCAGGGCGGCTGGTGGGTTTGAACTATGTTCTTCTTCTTCTTCTTCTTTTTTTAGAATAACAAAAAATATTTTACTAAAACATAAGATTTACAGAAGTTTCCAGACAAACCATACAAAATGGTCACAAGCTTTTTCTTGAAGAGAGGATTCTAGCTTGACAGCAAAGTCACAATGTTACTAGGGAGGGCTGTGATGTTTGTTTGATGTTCCCATTTTGGTTCCAACAATCAAGCTTGTCCATCTACAGCATCTACATAAAGTTAGACTTGGCTAGAGGGTATATTCTCAAGAACAATTGGTGAACTACGTTCTTTTGGGTTGGCAGCAGGACTTCTTACTCACTAATGTATCAGAGCTCTCCAAAGAATATTTAGGAACTGAGTCTTGGTATGGGTGGTTAATTTGGTCATGGAGCTGAGGAAGAGAAATTTTTTGTTCACTCAGTTCCGTAAGGACAAATACTGATCATTATCAAATAAGATAATTATTGTAGAATGAGTATGAGGATCTAAGTGGAGGGGGGGGGGAAGGAGTAAAGGGGTGAGGATAGGTGGGGGGTGGGTAATAATAGGGTCACACAATTTGATGGTTGAGATGTGTGTGTGAAGGAAATGGGAAAGATCCAGTGTGAAAATCAATGTATACAAACTTTGTAAATAAACCAATAAAATATATATATATATAAATACAGAGCAAATGTATTTTTCTCTTCGCTTATTCAATGAGATGGCATAAAATACACAATTAATTTAACGGTAAATATGAAGAAGAAAAACTAAAGTATACTTCCAAGCAAAATTTATTAGGTGTCTATTCAAGAAAAAAACATAATGACCTTTGTTTGCTTGTAAGAACTCAAAGTCAATTACCTGAGAGTCAGGTATGAATATTTTTCCTTTTAAAATCAAATACAGAGTAGAAACAGCATTTTTTTCCTTAAATATGACAGGCAACAGATATTGATGTCTTTTCTTACAAATGGCATCAAAGAGAAATCATTTTTAGCAAAGCTGCATGCAGTCGACCTAATTTCAAATCCAAAGCCTTATAAAATATAAAGCTGTTTGGGTGAACCTGACAGTAATCAAGATAGCCTATTCGAAGTTGTTTATTTTCTTCCTCGTGAGATACCTCTGTATTCTATATCTATGTACCTTTCTGTTTGGCTGCTAAAGCCCTTTGCTTTGGAAACTTTTGTACAAATGCTATCTTTACTGAGCCTCACTACCCAGGCGTGCTTGTGATCTGTGGAATAGGTAAAAGGAAAATCTGGCAAAAGTGTTTTAACTTAGTGGAAGTGCAAGATAAAGACCAAATTAGGAAACCCCCATTTTCTCAACAACTAAATAGCCTGTACAAAAAAGGAGCAAACATATGTACAAAAGTCTAGAGTCTACATAGATTGTGAAAAGATCAATCACCGCCCACAAAGGAAATGCCATAAAAAGTTTTATCTATAAGGTGCTCAAGATCCAAATATGAAGAGTTCTGCAAAGTCATAAGAAATACAAAGCTACTTCTCAAGGTGTGGGCAGGGCAGGCACTGTTAAACCTATTAAATCTTTCAGGTTCCAATATCAGGTTTATCAATTTCTGCTTCAGGGCAGGAAATACAACCTGAACGATTTAACACCACCTCTGAAAGTGCCTAATTTATTCCTAGGAAATATTTTACACCACATACTGAGAAAGTCAGGCTCAACATATTCCTGTCCTCAAATGTAGCCAGAATTCTGAGTTCCATAGAAGAAATATAATTATCTTAGTAAAAATAGTGTATTGACCATAATCCTTGCTAAACCAGCCTTAATACTAGTGTTGCCTTCAAAGTACTCTATGTCTATAAAATAATGTGTGAGATTGATTTCCATTTCCATACAACATATCCCCAGGACTGTATGCTCTCATACAATCACAAGTGTATACGTGTACACACAGTGACATCTAAACTATGGATATTGCTTACAGATACTTTCAAGTGTCTACATTAGAATAATTTTTGCACCTCTCACTAACACTGCTTTTACTTAAATTTTATCAGATAAATAAAATACTAAGAGCTCATTGTTCATAATGCTGATTATTACATTTTAATATAAAATAGCCGTGTAACTTTACAACACAATAGTTTTTCTCTTTTTTTCTGCAATCTAGCTAAACTTCCTGCATTCTTATGAGTACTACCAAAGGCTCTTACTCACATATGGTTTGCACTTCTAATTAGTACAAAAACAACAAATTGCAGGAAAATACTCCTATTTTGAAAACTCACATTCAGTCAACAAAATCACACTCATCCGAATTAAGGTTCCTACTTTAGATTTTATAATCACTGTGCATATTACAATGTATAAGTGCAGGCAAACAATAGCTGAAGTACAGTTGTCATATCGTGTAAACCAGGACACTAGGCAAACTCGTGAAAAGAAAAGATATTGCCAAGCGAAGAATGCGGAGATGCAAACCACAGCATTCAATACTAAAACAACCTGGTTGCCTGAGGAGAGGCCATCTTTGAAAACATTTTATTAGAGTACCAGAAGAGCTTCCTTGAGAAAAGATTTGTTATTTTTCCTTTGCTTTAAATACGTTACCCTTTTCAAGTACAGTGCTTTTCTTTGCAATCCCACATACCAACTTTGCACAGGTTGGGGAAGAAAGCAGAACTAGGTACTGTGCCGCGGAAGCAATTCCGCACGTCAGACTCCCCAAAGGGTCTCCCCAGGCGTCCAGGACGGTTACACTGCTGGTGGTTTGGCTGCGTGTGGACATGGTGATGATGAGTGACTCCTATTGGAAACCATGAGGCATGACAGCGGGAGGCCTGCGGGGTGGCTCAGGCGAGAGTTTATGCAGATGTTTTGCTGAAATGCGGCATAAATAAGGAGGAAGCGCGATTCACAGCCTCTTGACATAGTTTCCGGGAAAGGTACCAAAGAATTTGGTTCTTCTTGAGGTTCCTGAAAATAGAAGCAATAAATGAAAGGTGGTAACAACAATGAAATATTTCAGTCCTATGCACAGATTTGGAGGGCTTTGGAAAAGGTAAAGGGGGGGGGGGAAGCAAACAGCACTTTAAGACAAAACATATTTCTCTGTGCTGCCTACTCGCTCGCTGCCTCTTCACGTACTGTCACCCTGACAAGGAAGCCAACTTAATAACTGACCCTCCAGTGCTCCTGCGGAGCAGCTGGTGACTTTGAACTACTTGCCCTTTAGTTGACAAGACAACTCCTTCAGGCAAAAACAGAACAACTCAGCTAAACCAGCCAGAGAAATATAGCTGAGCAGGTGGGTAGCAGAACTTAGTCTCCAAGACTGCTCATCAGGAGTGAGGAATGAAAGAGTGCAAAGATTTAAGAGCAATTAGTTCTAACTTTTCTAAACAAGAGGCAGGGCAGGGTGTGCAGTGTGCTAAGGTGGATGGATGGAGAAGCATAAGGACTTGGGTCTGTGGGCAAATAGCCTCTCTCAGTTGCTAATTTACTTGCTACCTGCACTTCTCAGAAGTGAAAAACAAAACCAAACCAAAATGGAAATTACACAAGACTTTTACCTAGGTCAGAGATAGTGAGATTGGCACAGGATAGGACAGAGTTTAGGGATGTTCTACATAAGGTCACTGAGTCACAGGTGACTCGATGGCACATAACAACAACAACAACAACAGTTACTTTCTAAGGTATTTTACCACCTTCTAGATAATTCTGAGCTCTGGTGGCTTAGTGGTAAGGAGAAAAGATGAGCAATCTCCCCCAGTGCAACGTAAAGCCTCTGAAAACTGACGGGAGGGTCAGCTATGAGTACATAACTACACAGACAATCCTGTTGAACGCTGTATCTTAAAGGATAGCACTAGCAGAATCCTTAATACAACTTAGAAAATTTGAACAAGGTACAAAGTCACTTAAAAACAAAATAACACCAAATATAACACCAAAAATAACACCAAAATAACTTCATTATTTGAAGGTGGTGTCCAGCATCAGATGTAGGAGTTAACCCAAATATAGCCACCTTTGGCATCACCCTTACTTTTAAATGACGAAATCACTGCAGTGCATTGCGTGGTGCAGAAAATTCTCCTATGGGCTCTCCAGCTCAGAGAGAAGGAAATAGGGCCTGTGAACTGTGTTTCTCCCTTCAACTCTGGAGCATGCTGGTAAGCCATTTCTTTCTTCTTCTAAGTGGGTATTAGTATAGCTAATGTGAGTCTTGGGAAACTGTAGCCTCAGTTCCTTCATTATTCTACTACAGGTCAAACCTTCTGACCATTTGCCTTTGAAATGCCTCTCATTCCACTGTCCACTTCTGCCTTTCTGGGATTATATTTCATGTGGCAAGATAAGGATTTTTCTCCACTTCGACCACACATTGCAGTTAAGGTGAATCATTGATCTTTCTATGTAGCTACATCACACATTTACCCTTGTTCTTTCTCCAGTTAAGTCCTCACTATGGACAACTAACATAGTCCTCTGCCTAGCGTATTATTATTATTTAAGATAGAAAACACTACCCACCTCACCCTACTCTTACTCTAGCTAATGCTATTTTAAAAGATCTTTTTAAAAAAAATTTTCACCTTACTACCACTTTTTCTTTTTTTATTTTTTAAAGGATCTTCCTTCTTTTCTCAGCTGAGTTGGAAAGAAAATGGAACTAACCCAGGTGCCTAGAGAGAAAAGAAATGCTAAACTCTATTAACAATACAGTTGCCTTGGGGATTACATAGTGCTAATAAGTGTATGAAAGATCAAAAGCATTGTGAATACAGAGTGCAGGACTAGCACATTAAATCATGCAAATGAGCAAATGCAAGCAAATGATAAAGCAGCCAAATGTGTCAGAAAAAGAAATCTACACATACCCACAAACCAGCCATCATCACACTTTTCCATCACATCAACGACATCACTCTCTCTGAGCTCCAGCTCGTCTTCGTTCCTAGGAGTATAGTTATACAGAGCCTGAAACCTTAAACAGGACAAACGGGGGTGTTTAAAACATCTTTAGTCCTTTGTTAAGCTACAGAACACAATATCCATTTTACCTTTAACATTTTTACTCTTATTAATTTATTGGTAGTATCAATCTCTGGCAAGCATATAGCATAAATCGAAATATTTACACTTTCATGGGATTTATACCACTTTAAAAACTTCAAAACTCAGCATGAGGAATACACATGGAAGATTACAACATGTTTGAATTGATAAAACATGTTAGCATTTAAAAGTCAGAACTGCATTTGAATTGGCCAGTCATATCTAGTATTCAGCTAGATAAAAATGAGAAGAAATTACAGTTTTGTCTGGCCATAATTAGAGGCAAACAATTTAAGTTTGCAATTGCATTTTCAAGTCACTGTAACTTGACATACCTAATATCTCAGAGACATGACACCTGTCTTCTAAATCATTAAAAAGGAATTACTATGAATGGGTTTGGGATTTTTTGTTTTGTTTTGGGTTGGTTGTTTTGGGGTTGTTTTTTTTTCCCCCCGTTTGGTTGTTTAGCTTTAGCAAGAGGATTTTTTGGAAAGCATGTTAATTTCATAGATTACACTAGGAATCTGAAGTTTTAGAAAGTGAACATCTGATGCAACCCACCTATGAAATTAGGTGGATCTTAACCTCTTCTATGTTCAATTACCATTGAATAAAAACTGTAAAAACTACAGACAACTGTAGGCCAAAATTAATTTTTAAAGTCAGTTTTGGAGAAAATTTATTTAAAAACCTCTTTCAGGATAATTTCCTTTAAAGAATGAATGACTCTCGTTCATTTTTCTGCCTTTCATTAATGTTATATATAGTATAGTGACACTGATCAATAATAAAATACTTTGTGTTTTCATGAATGTGGTAAGAAAATACATTGCATTTGAATGAATATTCGCTTGTGTTGGCATTTTAGAACATGAAGGCACAAATTCTAGCAGCCTACAAGGTTAAGAAGCGTTTGTTTCAAATAGCAAGAAAACATGCTTAGACGAAGGAAGATTTAAAAAAAAAAATCAGTCATTTATGTCTGCTGCTCTTCTTCTCTGTGTACTTTTGCCAGTCTAAGAAAATAAGAACCATGTTCTAGAACACTTTGGATTTTTTCCAGGTTGGTTTAAAAGCTGACAATATTGAATACTGTCCAATAAAAGTGATTAATTTCCAAATACTTCAGTAATTTAGAAAATCATGTTGGCAGAACAAAACTATTCAATGGCTTAAACAGAATCATCATGACGTAAATGGGGGCCTTTGGTCTCTTGGATTCTCCTGTCTGTCCCTGAACTTGTACAGGTGGAGGACTTTGGCTGGGAAAGGGCTGGGAAGATGAGGTGTCAAATATAATCACTGAAAAACATTATTTTCCATGGCCTGGTGCCAAATGCTGAAATTCCAGCATTAGATATTTTGTCCTTTGTTAAATATTTTGCCTTGCCAATAAACCTTTTAATAATTTTTACTCTTTTAAGAAGGGACTTGTGAGTTTTTAAAAAACTTTTTTAAAAAAAATTGTGAGTTGAGTAAAAACTTACAAAGCAATTTCATTATTTATTCCACTATTTAGATACATTTTATTTTATAACATTAAACTCACAATGTATTTTCCCATTTCCTCTATTCCAGTAATCCTTCCATTTTGCCCCTTCCTGCCTCCAGGACTTTATCCTTGGGCAAATCCGGCTCTTTTGACTTCATTTCCATTCAGCCTTCTAGCTTACCCACTTCCTGACTTCAAGGCTTTATCCTTGTGCCAATCCTGTTCTTTTGACCTTATTGGGCTGGCTGTTTCTGAGGTTTTTTGATAAGAGAGGAGTCTAATTGTGGGAAGGCTAGAAAAAGGTGACAAGAATTCCTGAGCTGTGCTGGGGAGAACAGTTAAGTATTGAACACAAACATGACCTAATTTGGATGTTTGCCTTGTGTGCTTTGCCTTAAGCGGTTGACCTTAAGGCTACTCAGGTGAGTGGATGAGATCTTTTATGTAGCCATGTGAGAAGGTGGTTTCTATATAAAATAAAAATACTTAGTTAAAAAAGGAAATGAATTACACCGTCATCATGGTATTTTTTTGAGGGGGTTAGTCAATACTGGATTGGTAGGGAGCTCATGGATTTACATTCTTTCTCTCACTTGAGAGGCACTGATTCACTGTCTAACTTGAAAGTCACAGGCTTCAGCTACAGCCTTACCCACTAAACACCCGCCCCCACTACTCCCCGCCCAGCCTCCAAGCATTTGGGAGACAGGCCTATTTAAGGCCACAATTCCCTGCCGCTCAAAGAATCTCAAGGTTCCAGGAGCTAAAAAGGGAGGAGGCGGGGAGGGATTGGTACTCTTATTTCAGTTTCAAGTGAAGCTAACCAGCATGCTTGTCAAACTTTACTTACCATTCTGACTTAATTAGACAAAAAAATAAAAGGAAGAGCATTGTGATTGGGAAGTTTTATGGAAATAGAAATAAATCTTCTAAAAACACTCCTAGCTCTTCTGACTTTCAGAATCAGTGCAGCATGGAGGAAAGGCAATCGAAACACAATACAAAAATGTTGTTTTGAAAGATGTGCTGGTGAGATGAGTGATGGAGGTGATGTCAGGATGCCTTGGAAAGAAATGTGTTTTAAATGTTGTCACTTTTGTTATGTGCTATTGAACTGGAAACAATGCATAGCTGGCTGATCTACAGCATGTTTCCGTGAGCTGTAAATTTCATGGGAAGAGACTGACAATCTTTCTCACAGAGCAGCTGGTGGGTTCAAACCTCTTGCTTTTGTGCTGGTAGTACCAACTCCTTACCCACTAGACCATCAGAGCTCCGTATATTTTCAATAGGGAGAACTATTAAGCCAAATTGATGCTTTCTCAATATGACTTTTTCTAAAATGTCTTGAGTTATGAAGATACCAAATATTATGATCCTACTTTCCATTATTTTAAAGGAAAGATATTAACTGACATCAAGTTAATTGAGGTTGTCAATAGTCAAACAGAGACGGAATACAAAATGTTTTATGATGTTTAATGTAAGGTTTTCAAAATGAGTTCTATGGTTTTGTATTTACCCTAAAGACTGCTGCTGAAATAGTAACACCGTATTTCACGCAACAGTGTAGCACAGCATATCTTTTTAACTTATAAACTCCTTAAAAGGTACTTAATTGAAAATGTTGGTAATGCAATAAACCTAGGCAGCCCTCTGATTGATGTGTGTGTGTGTGTGTGTGTGTGTGTGTGTGTGTGTGTGTGTGTGGTCCTACTAGGTTTAAACAAAATATTCAAGGTTATGAACAGCTTCTGAAATGTTTCCAGTTAAGTGAAAATCTAAATTATTCTTACCTTGTGCAGCTCCCTCCTGTCCCCATTCCCTGACTGACTTTCTCTTAGTAATACACCTTTCCGATTGTACTTGGTAGAGTTTGTCCTAGGTGAGAGACAGTTCTTGTGGAGATGGCTTTAGGTGGGTATAAGATTTGTGAGGGTGATGAAGGCCCCAGGTCAGCATGTAGAACCCAGCTGCACACAGGGCTGGGTCAAATGTCAGCATGCTGTGCTGCAGGTGAGCAGAGCTCAGGTGGGGCCTGTAAGGCTCCTGCATGTGCACAGGTGTGCTGGCAAGGCTTGGCTCCTTTGCAGGGGCCTAGTTCTCGACTCAGAGAACAGGCAGTGGGCAAAAGGATATTGGCAACTTCTGATCATCTCCAGAAGGCAGAAATGGAGCAGAAAAATCATACAGAAAAAGACACCTCATAGAGAACATGTGGCATCTTTGACTTAAATGTCAAGAAAGAGAGGGAATTAAAAAGGGAAGTTTGAAAAGTCATGCTCCTGTGATCTGGAAGTAGACGTTTCACAAATCAGAGGATTTCAGCACTGCTCAAGTATCTCGGAGATGATGAGGATGGCACAGGGCAAGGCAAAGTTCAGATCCATTGCTCCTGGGGTTGCTATGAGCCATCCTTGACAGCACCTAGCAACAATTAGTTTCTCTGATGGTTTAAGGGTAAGGAGCTGTCAACCTAAAGACAGGCAGTTCAAATCCACCAGCTGCTAATCAGGGGAAAGATGGCAGTCTTCTCCTGAGTAAGTCACTGCTTCTGAAAACCCACGGGAGGGTCAACTTTGCTCAAAAACAACAACAACAACAACATTTCAAAAAGACTCTTGTAGGAATGCAGTTTGGGAACTGCATTACTAACTTACCACTTTAGGTCTATTATTTCATTCTCCAGGTATCCAAATATGTCTAAGAACAATGGGAGAGCATATCTAAATCTGCATTAACTAAAATCAACATGACCAATAAAATAGAGAGGAAGACAGATTGATACATTTTAGGATTCATTTTGGCACCGGAGACTTTTAAGGCCTTCTCAGTAAAATCATGCTTTTAAAAAAAACAAACAGTTAACTCTTGGTCTGTACTATCAAAGATGGTGATTGTCACTATGACTGTTAATTAGGAAGTCTCATGTTAGTGTGTTGATCTTATTCACTTGCAAAGTTGTACCTTCTGCTTTGGTGCCACAGTTATGTATTTTGTGGATCAAAGTTAGTCTGGAATTTAGAAGAGAAGAAGAATACTTACGGTTCCCCCCCACCTTGAATGTTTTCATGAGTAAACGCGGGACGCTGTGGCTGAAATGAAATGAGTTTTAATGTAATCAATGTCTCAACGGGCACTAGTTAGAGGATACTTTGGGTCATGGCATGGTACTTTCCTTGACATTTAATACCTCCTGTTATAAAACACCAAGGGGGGGGACCCAAAGAAAACACTTTTGTGGGATTATAATTAAAATATTTTCAAGGGTGTTTCAAACAAAAATAACCAAGGTTCCAATGTTTTGAAGACATCTACAAGCTGTTCTTCTCAAGTTTAAGGAAAAGTCAGGGTTTGGTTCCACTGACTTTTCAAAAGCCAGGAATACGGCAAGGACGGGGCACCAGAGCATGGAGATGGGAGGTTTAGACACCTTCATACAACCTTATTCTCCAGTGCTTTCTCAAACAAGCAGAAAATCAATCACATTGACTTGAACAGCAATGTATCCACATTCATTCTTTATGCTTTTCCTTGACAGACAATATTCTTACACACAAACAGCAACAGATGAAAATATCAATAGTCAGACATCCCATGCTACATTTGAATTTAAAGCTCTCTGTTCTCAACTTGGAGAAACACATGCAGGTTGAAGAGAGGAAACAGAGAACTTTAAGTAGAATACAACAAACAATATCCAGGTAACATGTAACATTTTACCTTAGAAGAGAAATACTGGTAGAAATTTCCAGTGCATTGAACTTTCATAAAAGTTTCCTTTCTTTTAAAACTAAGCATCAAGACCAGTATCTGTAATAGATACTTATAATATTGGAAATGACAAGCCTCAGCATCCCATATACCCACATAAATAATGCAAGGAATGAAAAATTAGCACTATTTTTTAATATGAAAACTCAGTGAACTTTATATCAAAATGATAAAAATTCCACTTTTTTTAGGGGGAAAATGCATTACAATTCAATCACAAAACATTTCAAAAGCATTCTCTCCTTAACAAGAACTATGCCACAAAATAAGATAAACCAGACTTTGCATAGCAACTCTTAAAGTGACTTTTTAAAAAAATGACTACAGAATTGGTTATTAAATCTACATCAGGGTCAATCCTGGACTCTCAGACTTCAGAATGGATTGGCTGGGAGATTTTTTCCAAAAACGCATCCAAGCTTCAGCCTGAGTCTATCAATTATCGCCCCCACCCCCACTTTCTTAAATTCTTTATCCTCTCCTCGCACTCCAGTTGTCTTTCTAACACAAGAGGACTAAATCCTCACATTACCAAAATAGAAAGCTGTGAGCCAACCGATTACAAGTGCTTACAGACAGCATTCTTAGAAATTTCACTCATTTGCCTGCCCATGAAATACTCCAGACTTATTAGACACATATATGATTTAAGAGCTTGAAATGGTTTATAAACCAACTAGAATAAGTAACAATAGATCGTTAAAATGAGAAAATATTTTCTCTGTAGAATAATCAAGACTGAATTGTTTTCTTTCATAAGCTTACTTGATTTTGCATATTATCAAGTCAATTGGATTAAAAAAGGGAAGATTATAAGCGACCACACCTATTATAGCCTATATCTTGTTTTCAAGTTCTGTCTCAATTTTATATAGCTACCTCCCCCATCATGGAGTAGAAATATTCCATAGGTTTTCTAGGCTAGAATCATCTTTATGGGAGCACATTGCTAGGTCCTCCTTCCTGAAGCCTGCTGATTAGGTCTGAACTGTTAACCTTTTGAGTAGCAGCTGGGAGCTTAACTGTTGCACAAAGAATGCTCCTAAACTATGGCTATATCATCTTAAAGAAAATTGTTCATTAATATAAAATCTACTTTTAAAAAATATGCTTGTCATTTTTTAGTTTTCATCATTATAATTTCATTAGTTTAATTCCTTCAAGTTAACCTACCACATATATCTTTTAAATTAATTAGACCTTTGACAATGATGAGAATTGTACTATTACTATAAGTATATGGCTAACTTAATTCAACAGATTTCTGTATCTCAAGAACTTGTGTTCTTGGGTAAATTAGGCAGTACTGTCCTTGTTTTCAAACCATCTTTCCCTTCTGTATCCTTTGAAAGAAAATTTTCTTCAATTATCTCTTTTCTAAACTGTTTAAATTGGGAAAGTCTGCTGTCAGGGACTTCTTCAGAGTCCTGAAGAGCAATGACGTCAGTCTAGAAACTAAGGTATGCCTGATCCAGGCCATAGTCTTCGCAATTGCTTGTACGTGTCAGAGAGCTGGACAATGACTAAGGATGATAGATGTCTTTGAGCTGTGTGATGCTAGAGAAGAGTATTGAATATACTATGGACTACCAGGAGAACAAACAAGTTTGTTCTGGAGAGGGTGAAGCCAGCCTGCTCCTTGGTGGCAAGGATTCTGAGTCTTTGTCTGACAAATTTTGAGCATGTTGCAAGGAGGGACCAGTCCTTGGAGAGGGATGTCATGCTTGGGAGGGTGGAGGGACATTGCAGGAGAGGAAGACCCTTGTTGAGATGTATTGATTCAATGACTGGTGTAATAAGAGTAAATTTGTCAGAAATAATGTTGGCACAGGATAGAGCAGGGTTTAGGGCTATCATACATAGTGAGAAACGTAGGGCCGTCTGTTCCCACAAAGATGTACAGCTTCTAAAACCTGAGGGAAGGTTGCCCTAAGTCAGAGTTGATTCCATGGCAGGGACATGGTTCTTGTTTATACTGTTCACTAACTCAGGTTAGAATTTATCACTGTTTTTCTTAGTAGATAAAGAACACATCTGTTCTAATGGTAAATATCAGAACCTTCCCAAACTTACCTTCAACAGGAATCATCTCCAAGTTAATGCAAACAACTAGGACCAGGTTGGAGTTGACTATAACATTTGAACTACTTTATTTAAAAAAATCATTTGGCCGCTCATCAACAGAATGGATGGATTGAAAAATCGTGGCAGATTTCACACAGTGGAATACCGTGCAGCATTAAGGAAGAACGAGTCTTTCAAAAGACTATATAACATCAGAGAGACTAGAGTATTATGCTGGGTGAAAGAAATCAGTCACAGAAGGGCAAATACTGCATCAGATCACTACTGTGAAAATAGGAGAATAACTTAGCAAGATCTGTACAAATGTTCAGAACGGGAAGGGGTGAAAACACCATGATGGCAGAGGTTAGGGTGTAGGGGCGGGGGGGGGGGGGTGGTGGTCGTGGTGAGGGAATAGGAAAGGTTCCATAGGACTTGAAGAGATGGGGTAATAACAGGCATAAATCAATGGTAATTAATGATATATAATACAACATATATGAATGATTGTGTAAAACCATGTATGTGAGTGAGACGTAATGTATATACATTCATAATGTATAATGAATGATTGTATGCAAAGCAATAAAATTTTTAAAGCATAAAGAAATATTTAGCCTCGAAAGAAGTAACAATAATAATTGTTTATGAGGGTACATGGGTGCCATTTGGGTTTTGCTAGTGACTTTGGAGATGCGCTTCAATACTCTTATTACTAAAATGATAAAGTCCAACAAGATACTATCTTTATCTCTTGAGGAAGCTACAAAGGAATGCTCATTACCATAAATATGTTTCTGTTATATAAAAGTACCTGCCACTGATCAATCTTACATACTCAGTTGTCAAATAACTGGACAAGTGATGGTTATTTATCCTTTAGTTTTTCTGTTTCTCAGTTGTGGAAAAGCAATAATGATAATAACTCAGGTTCATAGCCTAGATTGATATGCTGAAACTTACAGCTACGGAGTGATTTCTAAATATCAGATAAAACAATAAAAGGAAGAAATGGAAGAGAAAAATTGTATTCCCATTCCTCATTGCATAAAAGATTACTATGAAAATGTCTTTGAAAGAATTACAAGTAATTCTGAAGTTTATAGATGACCTAAGTTGGTACAAATAATCAATCCCATTTTCAGGAGAGAGTCAAACCAAAATACCTTTCCTGAGAGAATGTATTTGATTATCCATAGCAAAGAAGTATTTGTCTGAGCAAAATGAGCATTTTCATCCCAGATATATTTTGCCCACTCAAGACATACACAAAGGAATTACTCAAGGATCTTGCTTAAATACAGATTCTAAATTAGTCCATGGAAAGAGCCAGTGGTTCGAATCTCCCTAAATCCCTAAATGTGCCAACACCCTGAGGAAGAACACGCTTCCTAATGTAATGTATCTGCGTTCTTCTGCCACCTAATGGTGGGTGATGAGAGCAACATGCTAAAATTGGTTTTGTCTATGGGCCGTTCTCACCAAGTCCCTCCAGATTGAATTCATTTTAAATAGATTTTTCAAAGATCACAGAGCTAAGAATAGCATTCTTTTTTGGGGCCATATTTTTCCTTTCTTATGATTTAAATTTCTGTGAAGGAATCATTCTTTATCCAGAAGTATTTTTAGCCTGTATTTATTTCTTGATAAACTATCTGCTGAGATGTTTCAAACAGAACTTAGCAATTTTGTAATAAAAATGAAACAATGAACATTTTGAGGTTTAAAGCCTCACATCAACTTTGAAGATGTTAAATGCTGGCAATTTTGAGTGACAAGTGTATCATGATTGTTTTCTCTTTGTCCTGTTTTCACAGTATTCGGAATATTTACTTCTTTCTTTGTCAGTGAACACTACTTTCTCCTCACCCTTTTAGTGCAACTGTTTTTAAATGTAAAAAAATTGACACAAATATGCCAAGTTATAAGTGCATACTGATTTTAATAGATCAAATCACAAACCACCATTCATGAAGAAAATTATCTGAAATTAGCCAAAGTCCTCTGACATCACTAAATGGATATTTCCCTACCTCAGATAATGAGGTATGTCTGTTTTAAAGCCATCTGCTTATCTGTGTTCTGTGGCATCATTTTTATAAGATCGTCTATCCATAAAATGAAATAAGCTTTAAATAATTATATAATCATAGAATGTTACTTTAAATAATAAAGAAAAATATCTTTGAAAGAATGAGAAGCAATTATGAATCCTTGTCAATTTTTTCCAGAAAATGTTAATTCTAGTGTATGCCAG